GGACCCTATGTGGCCCGCGAGCCAACAAGTTTGCCCACCCCTGCTATAGAGGGACAGATAATACTCTCCACAACTGTACAACTCACCCACTGCACCAGACTATAGGCGAGTTTCAGCTGACGTCATTGTTATTAAAAGCCCGCGTTGCATGCTGGGAAATATTTTGGTCGGAGGCAAGAAACACGATAGGGGTCAAACACAGTGCATAATCTCGTGCATTTATCCCCGATAATGGTAAATTCCTGCTGTATTATCGGATGCACAAATAGAAGCACGGAAGAAGGAAAATGTCTTTTTCATATTCTGAGTGAAAAGAACCGCTAATAGCGAATTAAATGGCTTTCAAACATTCGCAGAGCAAACGTAGACGATCCTAGCAAACAGTGGACTCCAACAAGTTCAACAACACATCGAGACTCTTGTAGGCTTTCATCTTTTCTGCTTTGAATGGCCCAGGAGTTTCCACCAAGTCATTGTGGATATCGCCGAAGTGAATATTTAGCCAGGTAGGTGGCGATTCTGACCAGAAATTTGGTTTCGTCCACCTTTTGTAGGGGTTGAAAAGGGTGATTTGGCGTTCATCGATGCTTATGATCAATTTCTGGTCAAATTGTCTTTGGTCCTCTGCCGTTAGAGTGGATAAATAACCGGGATCAACACACTTTACGTGCTTTTTGGCGCGGCCTGTCATGTTGAATTAGTGTTTCTTGCCACTGACCAAAATAATTTCCAGCATGCAACGTGCGCTTTTGTCAACAATGAAACTCACCTATAGAGGGGCAGATAATACTCCCCACAACTGTACAACAACTCACCCACTGCACCAGATTATAGAGGGCCAGAGGAGCGCATTCTCCAACAGGCTCCTGCAGCTCCGCTCAAACAGTGAGAGATACAAGACTTCATTCATACCATACTCCATACAACGGTACAACTCATCCTTATGTCATAGATAACCCTATATCCTGTCAATCACTATTTCTTCTTTGCACTGTTTCTCCTTACGATCTTGTATATAACCAAGATCAATTTTGTATTACTATATTTCTATTTCTATATTTTATTTGTTCTTGTACATATACATTTGTGTAATTATGCCATATCTGACAACATTCAAATGCAATTTTTGAGTTTTATTATTAGATTTAGTGTGATGTATAAGCTACTGTGTCCAAATAATTTCCCTTGTGGATCAATAAAGCTTGTCTAAGTCTAAAATTCTGGAAGGTGTCAACTCCTTTAAACGTAGCCTATAACCCATCTCTGTATTTTATTGCTCTAAAAATAAACAAACAAACAAAAAAAACATACAGCATCCTGCCACAAACAAACCAACACAACTCCAGCAGCACATGTCACAAACATGGCTTTCTTGCATACACCTCAAAAGTACAATCTTCCTGTCAGAACGTCAGCTCTCATGTCTGACAGTGTAAATGGCGCATCAACAGGTCAGCCAGCCGTGCTTCATAAACAACACAACACTGGTGCAGAGACAGCAGGGGGCGGGGGCGAGGGGGGGTCCTCTGTCATGTTAACACCAGAGTACAGATGCTGACAGCACACAGAGACTTACAGTTACCAAGAGTGCACCGGTGATCCATACTCCTGTTACTGTCCCGGAGTGTAACATGCAGACACACACACATACACTCACACATACACACACACACCAGACTTATTCACTGAAGGAAACAGCACTGAAGGCGAACAAAGAAATGTATAGCTTCTTTCCTTGCGAAGCACTTTACAGCCTACTGCGAGACCATCATGTAAGTAAGTACAGAACACTAAAGAAAGAAAGAAAGAACAGAAGGTCTCAGATGGAAAATTGCAATAAAGGCTATATGAAGATGGAGATTCACTCAACACATTATGAAACTATTTCTCACAAATGCATGAAATACATTACTAAGGATTTAGCCTGTTCCATAGTCTAAGAAGAACATGGACTGAACATTGGCATAACAAAATCTTACTTTGTTGCTCCTTATATTGTCATTCACATAAAAAAGTAACTATACTGTCAAAAAAGACTGTTTAAATGTGGAATACAGGCAATAAGTGACACTAACAGTAAGTGTGGGAGCTGCATTCTCTGTGGGAGGAGCAAGTGCTGAGCAAAGCAAAGTGTCTCCTGGCTCAGCCCCTACATCATCTGGCTCTTGACTTTATCGTGATGCCTTCAGGGAGTCGGTTTTATGCTCCGGTGCAAAAGACTAACCGGTTCTCAAATTCTCTTGTGCCCTCTGCTATTAAATTCCTTCATTCTAAGGGGGCAGTTTTCTGAATGGTTTGCACTGTAATCTGTATATCATTGTCATTGAGTTCCACTTGTGGTCTGTAATGGACTGACACAGTTTGTGTTTGTGTGCATGTGAGAAGTGAGAACTGCTCTGAGAATGCTGTAAATGAATTGCCCTATGGGATCAATAAAGTTTTCTGAATGTGAATCTGAATCTAAACTCCACAAATTGTATAAAATAACATTTAGAAAGTATTTGTGCCACCATAGTCTGAACAAAATCTATGGGAAACACTGCATGCATACTTGATATATATTTTAATGTGTGTACTAAACAATACAATTCACTTTGCACTGAAAAAGTGGAACAAGTTAAATGGTGCATTCAATTCCAAATGTAACCAAAAAATATTCAATCAAAAGTGTATAGATACTAAGAAAAACTCACTCAACCATACTCACTCACTTGCTCGTGACTGATCTGCATAATCAAGATTACACTAATTTTAGACATGACTACATCCTGCCTTAGGCTACATTTTAATGGGGGTGTTCCCTCTTCTCACGCCAACCAATGTTATGTCTTTTTCCCCTGTATCCAGAAATGCTCCCACTGGGCATCTTTTGGGCCACACTACCTGGGAGCAATAACCCAGCAACCTTTAACTGAAATATTCTTTATCTAAAATAAAATCACATCCATTGTTCCATTCAATATTCACAGTAAAAATGCACTATTGCAGTATTACTATGCAATGTTTCTTTATTGTCACTATGAAGAGGCAGGTCTCTCACTTCTGCCATTTCAAACAGGAAGTCAGTAAACTCCTTATCCTTATTACATCTTGTGAGCTTTCTGTTAGAATGTTGTTACCACATCAAAAACATACCTGGCGTTGTGTTTAGTTTCATTCACACATGTTTAAGTAAAAATGTATAGTCTCAAAAGCTGAAAATGCTCTGTTCCAACTTGTGATGTTATAAAGCAGTAGTTTTCAAGTTAACAGCTCCTTTTACCTTGTTCAGTAGACTGTCAGACTGGCAATTTCAGGTCTGAAATTGTCCAAATGATTCTAGTGCAAGTGTTTGGAGTTTAAAAACACAGTATTACCAAATTATGTCACCAGGTGTTTTTCAGTTTGAGCTCAGCCTAAATATACAGGATCTGTGTGGGTGAAACAAAACAACTCCAGGTATGCTGACGAGGAAACAACATTATAATAGATCTGAATATAGCGCGATATTGGCCCTTTAAGTTGATCAATATTTGAATTTATAACAAACAAAATTAACACACCATATTAAAAAAAAAAAAGCCCTCTTTAAGCTCTTTGCTCTGTGAAGCCGATTGCAGTGCTCACTGAAGCTTTAAATACCCCCAAAAATCTTTGACAATGTGACATCTGCTTCCTATCCTCTTTATGAGGAAGCAGAGCCCATCTGCCTCTATATGTCCTAAAGCAAACACAGTATTTAAATGATGTTGTCGACGTTTATGCAAAACAGTGGATTTTGGGTGCATCATCCGTCAGATTGTCCCTCATCTGCAAACAGCTGGAGCGAACCGAAAGGCCACTCAAATCAGTCAGTCTGAAGCTCATGTCACAGGCACAGACACTGCTGTCGCTGGTGACAGTAGTGGGGATGGGCCAGCATAAAAGGTTCCACAGGCTGCTTTGAATGGCTGATTAGGGGAAAATAGGTGACTCATGCACAAAGATTGACCCAGTGCAGGCTAGGATGACCTAAAAAGAATGCTATTGAACGGAAAAAGTCAACCCTAGGAGGAGGGATGTTAAAAGTTTGTAAATGTCAAAGATGGGAGATAATTAGCTCCCATTATAAAGCTAAAGTGTAAAGGTACCAGTTTAAATAGTGAAATGGTTTTGTAAAAAAATAAATAAAAAAGTGGGTCACAGTGAATTAATCAAAGATTAAATTAGATCCCACTATAAGAGGATTTAAAAACCAATAGAAAAATATGACGGTGCAGTGAATATATTCATGGGTTTCAGAAAGATGAAAAATTGTTGGCATAGCAATTATTCATAACAAAGTAGTATATCCTTTGAAAGATGAAAAGTTCTCAAAATGTCACATATATCAGAAAGCTGAAACGAATGAATACTGTTGATGGCTATGGATATAACAATAGCTTATTCAAATATAACTCAAATGGCTTTGTCAAAATGTTTAAATGTTTATTTTAAAATTTATATTTTACCTTAAACAAGGTTTGACATCTTTCAAATGCTGTGGCAGATGTAGATTTGTTGCCCGACAAAATGTATTGATCTAGGCTTATAAAGTCAAAGCAAATATTAGACATAAGGCTGCAGTTTCTCAGTTTGTGTGTTGTATATTTTTTAGAGGTCATGGCTGAAAAAGGTTGAGAATCACTTATACAGCCATGCAGCAGAGATGTGTGTAGGCATAGCTGCGCCAAAAGGTGTGAAAAGCTGACAGGCTGGATCACGTCACACACAGATTTGCATATTTTGATTGAGACTATTTTTAAATGCTTTATTTTTGCACTACAAGATTCTGCGCACAGATAAGACACAGGCATCTACAGCAGAATCTAATAGTGGTCGAAAAAGACACGTAATTCTCAGATTCATATGGTGACCTGGCCCTCGGAGCTCATATAATTGAACATGCACATAATTATTTTATTTCTGACCTGCAGGATGAACACAGATAGTGGGGGAAGGACTATGTGTGTTGGTGCCCCCATGCATTATTGATGACTGACCTCCACCAGCTTGTTGGCATGTTCGCGGAACACCTGGGCGTACTCCTTGACCTCCTTCTCGTTTCCACTCTTCGCCGCCTCGATGAGCACCAGGAGAGGCACGTTGGTCTCCAGGAACGAGTCCGAGATGTGGTCCATCACCGCCTTCCTCAACTAGAACACACAGAAAGGTCATAATATTAATACAAGTCCTGACAACAGTCTAGTTCAATTACAGTGGGCGGTGATTACATGTCACCTACAATGGTAATGTCTGTGATGTACGGATATAATGAGGTGAAGGATATCGAGGAAGGCAAAGAAAAACTGAACTCTCGGAGGGAACAGAGTAAATTGCTTGTAAGGTGTCATTTTTCCCAAAAGGCCGTTTTACTGGGCCAGACTTTGCGTTGTCTATCTTTGTTTATGGAATAGTTTTTTTTAACCAAACTGGCAGGGGACTGGTTGTTTTATAAGACAGTAAATGGAGCCTGATGTTACTCAGTAGTATATGTGATGAGATGCCAGAGGGGAACAGTATAGAAAGCACAATAGACAGGTCCTTCATCTTACACAAAGTGGGAGTTGGTCACATGAGACTAGTGATGGAGCAGACTGGAATACACTATGGAGAAAAAGGCACAGGGCCACAAATCAAGCTTCTTCACAGATTCCTATGGAGAGCACCTGAAGGTCCAAAAGCAGAAGTATTTTGTTGTGTTTGTGTTTTAGATCTTTTGTTTTTCTTCATTTTAATATCTCAAGCCAAACATCAAAAACAGACCCCCTAAAATTCTTCCATCAGTTGAAAACAAAACAAACTGAGGGCAAAACAAACTAAGTGCTATCACTGTGTATATGTTTTGGTGTGTTGTAAAATGAATATGAGTTCTATGTAATGTGTACTGAGTAGTATGATGTTTCAGTGTATCATTATATAGAAGCAGACAAAAGGATGCCATATTGTTCGGCTCCAGACAATTAAAGACAATCAAGGCTAACAGCAGCTTATTTATTCCATATTTGGAATTCCAGCATTTCACGGTAGTGAAAGAGCCAATCATAAAGAGATTCCTGAAGATGCCGTCAGTCAAACCTGTTGGTAACTGCTGATGGCGACTCAGACACCATCTGTCTCCTATTTACAGCTCTATCCTCAAACCTAAATCAAAACAAACAAGAGAACAATAGCTGTAGCCTGGTCAGGTCCAGAGGTGTGAAAGGACCCATTATGGCCCTGAATGGTTATGCTAATAACACCCTACACTCAGTGTATTTCAATAGGCCTCACTAACTAAAAGAAACTGTAAACAATTAGGTGTGTTAGTTTCAGAGTAGTTTCATTGTAGTTAGTTCCTCCCTGCAGACAGATATAAGGAAGTATCCACCAGCATTCTGACCAGAACTGAAGAAGCATCTTGGATGAGCTGCGAAACGTATTTGACCAAAACTGAATTTCTCCTTTGCCGTGGATTCTACCTGGATGACTGAGGGATTTTTCACAACCCTTGATGGAGTCAACATCAGGGAAAAAAGGCCCCTGAGTGGTCTTGTATCATTGTTCAGATCTTGATTCACAGACAAAATAGAACCCCAGGATCATGTAGAGTGGATTAAAACTAACTTTTTAAGGTCTGAATGGCAAACCTGACAGCAGCAATTAAAGAGAGGGACAACAATTCTTCAATAGAAAGTGAATTGGAGCCAGACTCCATGGAGCCAATTCGCTCCCATGCCTAGTTTCCATTTAGATTGGCGAGGAGATTGGACATGTCCTTCTACACACAGTCTATGTGCCAGCTTCTGTAACAGAGTGTAATTACATGTTGGTGGTGGTGGTACATTGTGTAAAAGAAGAAAATAAAATTAAGTGATACAGAAGAAAATTATTAAAACCCCAAAAGAACACGGGCTGTCAAAGAACATGTCTGTACAATACGGAAGGACATAACTCTGTTTAATGAACAGCACAGATGTGGCTAATTTCTTGAAAGCGATTGTTTATAATTAGATGTAAAGCAAACACAAAACGGCCATATTTTTGAATTAAAACAGCTGAATACAGAGGGACGGGTGGAGAAGTCTATTAGCGCTGAGTGACATGGGGAAATTTGTTTAATATTAACAAGAGGGAAAAAAATCATATGCAAGTCTGAGACACACTTAAATAACCTGCAGCAATTACAAACTTAATTGCCAGTGCGGGGAGAGAAAGAGAACAATGGTGAATTATGGGCTCCTAAGGGCAGATAATCCATCACTCTAGCCTGGGACGGGAGACTAGATTTGGCCAGTCTAGTGGACATGACAGCTCTGCAAATGCTGTAAACAACCTGGAGCCCGCGCCATGGTTCCCCTGCTGATTTGTGCCGATGCAAAAGCCACAGAAACAACACATCTTGCGCCTGTAACTGATAAGCATCGTCAAGTTCGAAATGACTATTGAGTCTGAGACAACAGCCCGGCTATGTAGAAAATTGTGATTTTTGTGTAATGCTTGACGAAGAGCAACACAGCGGATATGTGCAGAGTCGCGTGAGGTGGCTGTCCATCAAAATGAGCAGGAAGGACGCAAGCCTTCTGGTAGGCAAATCATGGTCCATGCAACTGGCTTGTCTCAGGTTGTTTGTCTTGCTGTAGTGTGTCTTGTGGTGCATGCAGAATACAAATGGAAAAACTCAAATAGATAACACAAGGCTGAAATAATATCACAAAGGTTTTAGTAATAATAAACCACAGACTGAATGTCAAATTAAACAAAATACTGGCTCACTTTAAAAGGGAGATATTATGTAAAATCAGTTTGAATGAATTTTAACCATGTTGCAATGGTGTTTCCTCATCACAGCTATAACTCAGAATTGTATTGTGATTCATTCCTGCATGTTTGAGTGATAATACTAACACATCAGACGACAACAGGGGGAAAAAATAGGTAGAAAACGGCAGTGGAGATCATGAGGGGAATCTTGTATTGTCCTGAATTTGAGGCTTGAGCACTCAGAATATGTTTCATTATTCATAATTATTCAAAAAGAAATTCTGACTACGACAAGGTAGGATTCAAAATGGTCACATTGCTATTTTTAAAGAATAAATACATGTAATGCCTGAGCCCGTTTCTCTTTCTGTTTCAATGTTGCTATTTAAAATGAACAAATGTAAAAAATATGTATGCTATAGTTCAATACTGAACACCTGAAAATAGCACGATATGTTTTCAAAGTTTGCACAGGGTAAAAACAGAAGTGAAAGCCTTGTGGAGCAAAGAGCACACGTTTAGTTGCAGAGCATGTAGTCTGGAGTTGATGGCATATAGAGCAGCACACACATCATAAGTGTAAAACAGCGGAGGACACGTAGATCTTTATGAAAGAACAATGGTGAAAAGCCCTTCCGATGGCAGCTTTCCGTGGCGAAATGATACAGACCAGTGATTTCCCAAACCGCAGCCTCCCTCTCCTGCACCATCAGCATCCTAATGCCCACACACCACTCCTACAGACAAAAAAAAAAAAAAAATCTATCTCGATTCACATCCCGCCTCCACCCCCACTGTCTGCGTGGTGTATTTCACTAACACTTAAAGGAAATAGACCTGAGAATCCAGGGGCACTGCTCATTACAATTTAGTGGGATGGCTATTTGTCTCATGGGGTCGTGCGGCGCCACAATGGAGCGCACTGTGAACGGACCACTTTGAGTTTTAATATTCCGACTCCGGCATTGAAGGCTCGGGACTCATTTGTGCTGCTACTTGGTGGGTTTTGAGGATGCTTGTGGCTCGGCGGCAACACGTAGTCGGGGGAGATGAGATGAATCACAGCAGTGGGCCAGGGCTGTCGTGATGGATATACACAGGTACTGTAGATACCTGAAGAGAAAAACAAAAGGATGGGGCCAACAGAGCAGATTTTTCACGCTTTTGACTCAACCGTGGAGTTTCTTTTATGGTGTTGTGAGAATTTCATGCATTTCAACTTCACCAAAAGCGTAACTAGTCTGGTATTTTCCAAGTTGAACAGCATCTAAGGGGAGACAGAATACTTTATCTTCCCTTGTCGTATGGATAAGCCTAATAGTCCACATTAATCTGGGCTATCTCACATTCGAGCCAGGTGCTATGCTAACCGGCTAACGTGCAGTTACCAGCACAACGATAAGCCAGGCTGATGTTGATAAATGAAGGCTAGTTTTCACCTCCTTCATGAGGTCGTCCTTTCCCATCACAGCGTGGTATTATAGGCTTTGTTCACTTAGCTGGCAACACCTTTCATTCAACAGTAATGTAGACAAGATTTCACAGCGTGAGGTTTACCGAGGACAAGTCTGATCAGGGAGTTCTTATAAGTTTTTCTCATAAATTTAAAGTATTTATTACTTTATTACTTACTATTTTCTGATCTAATGTCGTTTCCTCGTCACTGACAAACCCGGAGTTGTGTTTTGTTTCATTCTCACATGTTTAACACACAAACCCTGCACATTTAGAACAGAAAACACTCAAACACATGTGATGTCAGTGTCATACAGGAAATGCTCCACTGTGTTTTTAAACTCCATATAACATCACTAGAAATCCCTTGAATTCCCAGCCCTGGAATAGACCTTTTTCCCAACTGCTGGAAGTGCTGATGTAGGGTGAACATCACTTCCGGTTAATGCTTTTCTACGGCAAAATATCTGTAGAAATGTCTCGCATATTTTCCACCAGCTTCATAAATCTGCCCCATCACCAAATCTTCATCCAGCAAGGTCCACCAAGAACATATTCTGTCCATGAAGAATTTATCCACAACTATCAAAATAAGAAAGATGAAAATTTAAAGGCGAACAATGACTAGCATTTGTGAAATACTTCTGAGCAAAACTAAAGTTATAGTCATGAATAAAACATAAATAATAAGTAATTTTTTAATAAGTAACTTGTTAACTCAGACTAATTGACAAAGATGTTCATAGATTATATGTCTAGCATTTCAACTGCACAAATCTCTCCGTCTATGCTGATTACGGATGGGAATTCGATAAAATTTTCTTAATCGATCGCCGGGAGAATTAACAATCGATTATCGATTAATCATTAAAGTTTTTATAATAAAATTTATCATCATTATTATTATATCTGCACTACTAATCTGCATAAATAAACTCAACTTTACGACATATAAACT